CCCATACCGGGCCAGCGAATTCAAGAATTGGCCTCACGAATGCCTTGTAAATGTAGGCGCAAGTGTTGACATCGGATCCTTTGAAAGACCTCTCCAGCATGTATAGAAGTTTCTTGGCTTTTGATGTAACGTGGTGAATATGCTCTGACCAGGAAAGACGATCGTTGACTACAACGCCCAGATCAGTGTCGCTGGAAACTGCTTCGATGTTGTGGTCAGAGATCTTGTATGTAAATCGCGGATTTGTCTTCCCGAGGTGAAGGACACAACACTTAGTTAGATTTAAGGGTAAAAGCCAACTGACTGACAAACAATATCAAGATCTCGTTGAAGCATAGCAGAATTTACGACAGTATTGTAAATCTTGGTGTCGTCGGCATAAGCTGAACATGTGGAGGAAATCAATGCGGGCAGGTCACTTGTATACAGAAGGAACAGCACTGGCCCCAAGACTGAACCTTGAGGAACTCCACTTGCTACATGATGATGGTGAGACTGGCTATCACTGACGCGCACAAAGAAAGTCCTCCCGGTGAGAAAAGCCTTAATCCACAGTAACAACTCGCCTCTTATTCCCATACATTCCAACTTAAACAGAAGCCTTCTATGTGGTACGCGATCGAAAGCCCTAGAAAAATCTAAGTAGATTATATCAACAGGAGTCTTTGTGTCCAGATACTGAGTCCAATCGTTGAGAGAGTGGAGAAGGTTGGCCATTATTGATCGACCAGGGAGAAATCCATGCTGATTCTTAGGGATAAGGTCATTTTCGAAAGCAAATGACAGGAGCTTATCTAATATGATTCTTTCAGCTATTTTGGCGGCGATAGGAACGAGACTTATTGGTCGATAATTTTTAGCGGAGGATTTGTCGCCCTTTTTGAATACAGGGGTAACAGAAGCACTAAGCCAGCATGAGGGTAGGGTATGAGATCTAAAAGACGATGTGAATATCAAGCTTAATGGTAGGGCCAGTGCTGAAGCGCAGTTTTTAAGTACAGCAGCCGTTATCCCATCTTTACCAGGGGAGGAAGAGGTCTTCAGATTTCGCAGGTGCATTAATACATCTTCTGGCAGGAACTCAACTTCGCAAAGGCTGTTGGGACACCTATGGCAGATAGTGATCGGTAGAAGGTCTCCATTAGGCTCATTGACGAAGTCATCACTAAAGGACTCTGCCAGTAAGTTGGCAGATTCGGTGGCATCCATGTGGAGATGACCGTCAGCGTCGCGGATCTGAGGTGATGAAACTTTGGAATTCAGGTTTGTTCTTAGATACCGAAACAGCTTCTTCTTATTTTTGGAGGTAACGAGTTTTCTTTCATAAGCATGTTTGGCATTATGTAACGTTCTAGATAGGAGGTGAGAAAAGGATCGATGAGACACATAATCTTGTGAATGGCCACTCCTCCTAAACCGTTGCCATAAAGATTTCTTGTGATGAAGCATCCTCGATATGTTAGAGTTGATCCAGGGCTTTGAGGGGTCACAGTATACCTTCTCCAATACCAACAGTATTGTCAGCCGTTTCGCTTAGGACTCGTTGAGCGAAAGTGTCCCACATATCTTGGGTGCTACGGTTGTTAAGCAAAGCAGGCCAGTTGACTTCAGACAGGGCTTGGTTAAGAGCATCGTGGTTTACAATTTTGATGGTTTTTAACTTATCGGTTGTAGAACGACTATTTATATTGAACTGGAGAGAAGATAAAAGTGAACAGTGGTCAGACTTGCCAAAAGGTGGCAAATAATCTAAATTAGAAACAAAGTCGGCGTCGTTAACGAATATCAAATCCAATTACGGAAGGTTTTTGCACGTAGTTGTTCCTGATGTAATATGCAGTGTACCGATGATATCGGAGGTAGCCCAGCGTCGCGTACTTTTATTTTCATTCGCCCAGTAAAACCTTGTGCTTCCGATAACATTGCTGGCGCTCCATCAGTAACAACACTACGCAAACTTTTAAGTAGTATACCTATGTCGTTCATTGTGTATTCTACGGCTTTAAAAATATCTTCTCCGGCCATTGTATCTTTGAGCGGGATAACTTCTAGTCGGTAATAGTAAAGACTATTTCGACACCTCTAACGAAAACAGCTAATTATGCTGTGTCAGAAATGTCTTTACTTTCATCGAGAGCTATAGAATACTGCACAAAATGGGCACATTTTCCCGCAGTTGTTCTTTTAAATCTGCACCAAGTTCAAGTATCCGACGAGAAATTGTTTGCTCGGACATACTAATTGTCTCAAAGTTGCTTACAGAAGATGGGCACAATATTTCCGCACACTACACTAAGCATTCATTGACATGTGCATCGTCAGTAAACGGTCTCCTACTTTTTGCGATGTTCAATGCAACAATATAACTTGCATTACGACACCATTAATAATAACACTGGACAACAAATTTTAGTTTTTTAATTGTATCTTGTGGGAAAAGTGCACTTCTTTGTTAATTTTGGGGCGCTGAATCCAAAAATGACAATGAAATAAAAAAATTAGTTGCGGTTTAGAAAAAAAAACTTTTTATTTTTAAGTATATATTAAAAAAAGTAACAAGATTCATATACTTATAAGAATCACTATATGCGCTGTCTTTTTGCTGTTCTTTTATGGATCGTTTCTGAAGCATCTCTACCAAGAGTCCAACAGTAGTCTGCAAGCATGGAAGGATTCCACTTTCCCTGGTACCTTTTTCCATTGTTGAAATATCCTGATGAAAACGTTCGCCGTGCTCATCACTTACGGCTCCGCAATTGTCAGGAAAAAAGTTCAGGTGTGAGTGTAGGAAATGTATCTTAAGAGACATATTACAGCCCATCTTTTGATACGATGACAGCATATTTTTGACAAGGGTTTTATAGTTGTCAGCTTTTTTATTTCCCAAGAAATTAGTGACCACCAGACGGAAATCATTCCAAGCAGTTTTTTCAATACCTGTTAAAGTGTTTTCAAACTGTGTATCTTTCAAAATATTTCGAATCTGTGGCCCAACAAAAATACCTTCTTTATTTAACCTTTGCCTCACTTAGTCTTGGAAATTTCTGACGCAGTTATTGAAAAGCTGACCCATCTCTATCTAATGCCTTGACAAACTTTTTCATTAGGCCCAACTTGATACGCAGTGGTGGTAATAAAATTTTTTTCGAATCTACTAATGGCATATGCTGTACATTTTTTTGACCTGTCTCTAGGAATTGACGAACAGGCCAGTTTTGTCTGGTGTAATGAAGTGCCTTTGCCCGACTGTCCCATTCACACAAAAAACAGCAAAACTTTGTGTAGCCTAGCTGCAGCCCAAGTAAAAGTGCAACAACTTTCAAATCGCCACAAATATGCCATTGGTGCTCATCGTATTTTATGAATGTCAATAGGTACTTCATATTGTCATATGATTCTTTCATGTGAACTGCATACCCTACAGGAAGAGATGGTAAAATATTTCCAATATGCAATAACACTGCCTTTAAAGTCAATGTTGAACTGTCTATAAACAATCTCCATTCTTCTGGGTTATAGTTTATATTTAAAGCCGCCAGTAAGCCGTTAATGTTACTGCAGAAAACCAAGTTATTCTCCATATTGAAAAATGGTTCTAAGTCTTTGTGGCGTTTACGAAAAACACATAACGAAACATCGTCATCTAACAAGTTCCACTGCTGCAGTCTTGATCCAAGTAACTCTGCCTTAAATTTTGGAAGTTCTAAATCTCTTACAAGATCATTTAATTCTGACTGTGTTATTTTGTGCGGTTGGTGGCATGACGTGCTCGGTATAAAATCAGGATCTCTTGACGTTGATGACATATCTTCTTCCTGACGAATCGCTCGATCGCCATGATCTGATTCGTTTTCTGATTCGCAAGTGTAGGATTCTGGGGGTTTTGGAATAGGATTTTCGTCACTGTGAGGCACAGGCCTCATCGGAGATGGTATGTTTGGGTAGTTAATAACCGATTTTTTTTTTCTTGGACATACCTGTGGCTTGTCCAACACAAGGTACCATGCAAAAGTAACAATCATTAATATGATTTGTAGGCTCTCTCCAAACCATTGGGACAGCAAAGCGCATAGACCGTTTTTTGCCATTTAACCAGCTCCTCAGACTTGAAGCACATGTATTACAGCAGATGTGGGGCGCCCACTGTTTGTCTTGATCACCTAGTTTACAACCGAAATAAAGCTGATATGCCTTTGTTATTAGTGGAGTAATAGTCTCTGAGACGCAAAAGTCACATCACCACACACGTAACAAAACTGATCTGGATTGTTTACACACTTTCGAGACATCTTGCATGAACGCTGTCAGCCAACTGAGGAAAAAACGGCTAATATAAAACAATATAATGTACACGTATGTATAACGTAACACAATCATGCCGATGACATCATCTTTCCTTGCCGAATATAAAAATGTAGCACGTGCATTCTTGTAAATTACAGTATATTAACACTGTCACAGCAGGAACATATATAATTACCGTATCTCTAAAACTTGAACTAATATTGAAAAAATAAGTTTCATTCCGGTTTTAGCACATTAAAAATAGTAATATTTTGTTGATTTTATTTAGGATATTTTTTGGCTGTTGATCAGTGATAATCAACTACGACCAAATTAATAACTACCTCTTTAGAACTTTGAAGGGCTGGCCTCAATACCGTGTGACAAATTAAACATTTTGCTTTTTCATCAGTATTTACAAAAAATAGGCTTCTTCCATGCAGGATTGAATGACATCGTTTAAAAAAAGATGCACGTTAAGACGCTAAAAAACCTGTCCACTTTGTCTTGTCCTATTAAGAAATGGCCTGCGCCCGAGAGACAGTCGGCTAATATGTTTCTCTCCGCCGCGACGGCTGTGCGGTCGAGGTGGAGGGGGAACGGCACCGGAGCGCACCAGCACCAAGTGCTCGAGTTGGAGAGGCCTGATCTAGAAGATATTGAAGTAAATGTACCTAACTCTTATTGCATAACATGTGCCAATGTTTTTTTTCCAGTGAACAGTAGAGATTCAGAAGACATGAAAATAAACCCAGGAGCCGTGGAGTCGGCGAAGTATAAAGCTGAAGTCGCACAGCTGAAAGCTGAGAACGCTGCTTTGAGAAACGAAGTGTTAGCACTCAATAGTGAAGTTTATGGAGCGAAGCTAGCCGCTAAGTATCTAGACAAAGAATTGGCTGGTAGGATACAACAACTGCAGTTATTAGGTAAATTAAGTACCGAAACACATTTTAATTTCGTCCTTGATTCAGTTAGGCCAGAAGTAGTCCGAAGAATATGGGAACGGATGGTTAATTCTTCCCAAAATGTCTTGTGCTATCAGTCAATAAGCAGCGTGTGTCAATTAATATTGTTGTATTTTTTTTGCAGGTAGAGAAATGCGCGGGGACGTAAGAGATAAACTTTGGAGGCAACTAGAATCGGAAATATTGCTCCAAAGGCATAAAACCGTAGTGAGAGCGTGTAGACGAAATAGTTGTATGAACAATACCGAAAAGTGTGTGAAACCGGATTTCGTTGAGAATCCTGGACAGTTTGGTGATACTAGGACTGTTGTTGTGAAACGAACGCCTGATCAAGGCTTAGGAATCAGCATCACCGTAAGTTTATACAAAATGATTCAAAACCATCGAATTCGATTAGATTAGAAGCAGTCTATATGTTTACATTCCATTGTCTCCATTTAGTTTTCGTGCATTCTTTTGACTCATTTGTCTAGCAATGCCGACCAAAGTGACATAATAATTACCCGTAGAAACATCTAGCCTCATTAGGTTCGTGACTCGCTTTGCAAATTATGCAAGAGCTCTTCACAATTATCTGCAAAAACTCGCACCATTAAAAAATAACGCTATATGCACGAATCTAATGGCAGAACTGACAAGAAATTAACTTATGTCAAGTGCTCTTTGATGCTTACTACAGGCAATGAGAATTAAGAGACAAACAGATCCTTAACTGGCTTCTTCTACCTAGTCTGAATTCGTTGTTCAAAATACAGTATCAGTTAGAACAGATATTATACCTAATAATAACAAAAGCTTCTATAAGCATACGTCTTAAAATGGCCTTTTGTAAGATACTACTTGACTAATCGACTCCAATTTGTTGTGGTTATTTAGAAGTAAGAAGCCTTCGAATCTGAAGAATTTCAAGTAGCTGCGTGAAAGTATCGTCGCATTAGCAAGTGCCTTGGTTTTCGGCCATAATTTTTTTACTATTACTGGGATCTTTTTACGTGTAGGTCTCATAAATACCTAAAAATCTTATTTGAAGAGTTTTCTCGTTCCTACCAACACTTTCGATTGAATCCCAAAAAACACGTTTTCTCATTCTTTGTTGTTGAATAAAAAGTTTTCTCACAAAAATTGGTGTACCCATTTTCTGCGTCCATGTTTTAAATACCCCCTTGAACAATTTGCGTCAATAAGACCAGACTTTACAATTCATTTGGTTTAATTTGCTGATATGATTAGACTACGAGCCCCTTCCCACTTCAAGATTTGTACCAAAATATGCCTCGTGAAAAATACATATTTGAAATCACTTAGACCTATAACTAATAGAACATCTGAACAAATAAACAATGTGCGAATAAATGCGCGAAGTTAACAAAGCAACAATTGAAAGATTACCATTGGGTAACATCACCTTTATTTTTTATTACGGCTGAAATTCTTTGGGGCATAGTGTTAACCAAGTTTTGGCAAAAATTTGGTGTAAAATAATCCCATATTTCTTGAAGCTTTTGTCTCAGTTCGGTGATTGTACGAGCAGGATGTTGTCGTAGAACCTTTTTCATCTTGTGCCACAAAGTTTCAATAGGTGACAGATCTGGACTGCTAGAAACCCATTTCAAAAGTGGTACATTATTTTCTTCCATCCATTGTATAGCCTTTTTTGAGGTATGGCACGCTGCATCATCTTGCTGAAACACAAAATCTTGGCCTGATGTCAAACATTCTTCCATCACTGGTAAAAGCGATTCTTCTAAAATTGCCAAATATTTATTTGTATCCACATTTCCATCAATAAAATGAAGTTTTCTTACTCCTTTTGATGACATACTGCCCCAGACCATAATGGATGCTGGAAATTTCACTTTTCTCTTCAGACAGTCAACATGGAATGATTCATTTTTTTTTTGCGAATAACTCTACTGCGACTGTCACCAACACAAACTTCGAATCGGGCCTCATCACTCCATTGTATTGCACACCATTGTTGAGGTGTCCATTGTCTATGTTCTTTAGCCCATCTAAGCCGATTTTTCTTTTGCAGTGGAGTTAATAGTCGCTTTACTTTGGCCTATAAACAAGTTGTGCAACTTTACTTTTTTTTATAAGAAAACTTACCTTGCAAGTGCTAAATCCCAGTTTGTGGGCCTCCCTATGAGTTGTGGACCTCAAAATTCTCCTTCCAATAGCGTCACTCCACAGAGCACTTAATTGTAAATAATTGGCACGCCTGCTTTTCACGACTATTCTTCTTAATGCTCTTCGGTCGGCATTTGTGATATTACTTTTTTTCACATATCGTGGCTTAATATTAACTGGACCAGTTACGCTATATCTTCTAACAATATTTCTCACACTGTACCGCGATAAGTCTAACAAAGATGTAATTTCTGAGTTTGATTTCCCAGAATTAAAAAATTTAATTATCAGTAACAGAATTTTCTCACTAATAACCTTTGCTCTACCCATTTTGAAAACCTTAACTACCCAAAACTATTTTAAACGTATTCTGACAGCTGTGATTAATAAAAACAATTGTCATGGCTTTTATTTTTCACAGCCACCTATGCGTTATAGACTTATTTTGCATTGAAATGAAAATAGGTTGATATGCTGTAATTGCAAGATGTGTTATTTTTATGCTGCAAATTTGATTAGGGAGTGATAAAGTTGGTGTTTTCAACTATATATTATCAAAATATTCATTTTTAATATTTTAAACCTATAACACCCTGCTACAGTTTTATTATTTATGTCTGATAAGAAAAAAACTAAGATTTCAATAGTTGGGCTAACTGAAGTGTGAAGGGGCTCGTACTAGTAGTATTTTTAACATTTCTTTAAATCACCTTGTACATTTATATTCTGCAGGGTGGTCGAGAACACGGCGTGCCTATCTTGATCTCAGAACTAGAGCCCAATGGTCCCGCAGCGCTGTCAAAACAATTGTACATAGGAGACGCCATTTTGTATGTGAACGACATAGACTTAAGGAACGCGTGCCATAGAGAGGCTGTCACGATACTTCAACAGCAAAGTGGAGATTGTACTTTGAGGGTACAATATGTGGCTGCGGACGATAGTGATAATTCTTTAGAGGAGGATGGTTTTAACTATAAGTGAGTAGATTGAATTTTAGGACACACTAGACCGTATCGATGAACTCTAAAGCTTCGTTTTTTTTTTGAAGCTTGATCTCATCTGTCAAGACTCATATTGTTGTTGTTGTTGAAGATTTGGTTAGCATACCCTTTTACACATTTTTTTAATCAGTTTTCTGTAATTTTACATTCTTGTCTATTAATTCGGTATGCATTTTTTGGTATTCACAAAATGATATGAAAATGATAGCTAAATAACATATAAGCATTTTTCACATTCATCCACTGATCTAACATAGCTTAATCTTAGCGTATCTGTCTTTATTTAAAATGATGGTGTGAATTTTTCGGTAATGGCTAATTTCTGAATCGACTCTTTTTCCATATATTTATATACTAAGGGCCGTATCGTTATTTGTTTTTACAATTGTAGGACGTATTTATGGCCTCCTTGATTTTCATAGTTTTTCATGTCTTTCAGAAAGGCAGGGGTATTTCTAGATTTCTACTGCTTCGTGTCAGCTCTCTATTTTGAGGTTATGTTACAAATATCCATTTGCATCAAATTGTTCATTCTTTTAATTTATACCATCTGTGTTATCAGCTTGAATTTTTTTACGATTCAAAAAGAAATCATAACCTCACAATACGACAGCGCGCTTTTCTGAAGGAGACAAAAAACTATGAAAATTAAGAAGGCCATAAAGGCGTCCTACAATTTTAGAAACGACTGACGATACGGCCCTCAATCTTCTTCTTTATTTTCCTGATAACACCCTGTAAATTTCTTGCAGATTTTTCGACGAAGACGTGTACGGTTCAAATAATCTAAACGTTCACAGAGATAAAGAAGATATAGTGAATACACCAACTGCCCCTAGAACGCCAGATTCTTTGGTCACTAGTAGGTGAGTCAAAGGACAAAAAGCATTTAGTGTGATATTACCAAAGACGCCTGATTGACGTGTACCATAGTATTTTTAGGCATGTGCAATATTAGTTGTATAGTTATATTCGATCACTTATTGTAGATTGTAAGCTTAAGTTTGAGCATATGTGTTTTATAATTTTACTTTTATTCGTTATTTATTTGTATCGTAAAATATATTTTATTTTTATTTATGCGTTTTTTTTTTCGTTTGTATATTTACATTTTAGATGCAAAAAGCACGAGAAATGGGGTATTCTCAGATGAAACTGAATTTTTGATAGCTGAAATAGGTTGTGTACATTTTTTTCGACAGGCTGCAAAGCTTCTCAGTATCATCCTGTTGGAAGTGTGAGATTCTCATTGAAACCACTCAGTCACTCAATACACTTGCCACCATGGTAATACTTGCAGCATTTCATCATGGTGGATAGTGTTGCGTCAAGTATTAATACCACCAAAAGTATTGGTCATTCTGATCCCCATCGTACCTCTATCCGCCAGAATAACGTTTTTGGCAGAAATCATATTTTAGAAAAGTTTTTTTTTCATCATAATTTATTTTAACCACTCTCAGGATAAAAAGCTTCTCAGTATTCTATCGGTCTTTCCTACCCGAAGTGTGAGATTCTCCCGAAAGGCGGCATAAACACTAAGTTGCTCGTTATCTCCACCACAGTAATGCTTGCAGCAAATATTTATGGAAAATACCCCGTTGCAATACTGGCACGAACCATATTGTTGAAATGTTTATTTTTTGCATGGCACACAGCGCGCATGGTTGAATTACCTGCTTTAAAGCGAGTGAGAATAACATGTAAGGAATTACAGGTTATCAGGTATCAGCAGTCCCGAAAAAAAGACCTCCAACGTTTTGGAAGTACCTAACATCCAGCATGTGAGGGGCTGCAGATTCGACGCTAATTCGAATAATAACGGGAATATCGAAGATACGAAAAATACCACTGAAGCAAAAACGTGTATTTCGAATAACAACAAGTCGCCCGAAACTAGCCCTAAGGCGCTTATCACTGATGATCTGTACAACATCGATACTAACGATTTGATCTTAGTAGACAACTCGACAAATAACGTGATCAAGCTAGAGAACTTCAAGAAAGTCGACATGTTTCCGAATATCGACGGAAATTATAATACCTCGACAAATTCGTTGAATTCCGAAAACTTCTCGTCGCCCATGCAAACCAGCACCGATGTATACTTGGACTCTGAGATTTTATCGACAGATTTGGCTTCAAACGATTCTCAATCGCCGAAAAATATACAGACGGATGTTACGAAGACGAATTTTGTATATGAACAGGTCGATGCTGTTGAGAAGAAAAACGCATCAAAAAAGGTAAGTAACACTACTTACATCGCCTACGGCACGGGAAGTGAAAGTAGTATATTTAATGAAAAACGCACATTGCGACGTTGCACTTGTACGTCGGTCATTGCACGACTCGAACAATGAGAAATTCAGCTCTCGCCGTCTCAGTCTCGGCGTTCGGCACATCTAGTTGGCCATGATTTGGTGGTAACCAGTAGGCCATGGACACGGTTTGATGGCTACGTGATAAGCATCTAGAATTTATGTTTAGTAATTTTATAACCTCAAAATTACGGAAGTTAAATAGAAACTTGTTTATGAGAAGCATAACAAATTGGAGGGATTATATTGTTGAATTCGTGAAGTGTCGTGGGATCGGAGTTGAGGAAGGATATTTGTTGTTATTACATTGGACAATAATTGTCAAACTAACGGCGGATTTAGAATCTAGACAGCCGATTTTCCCGGGAAACGAGTTTTTGGAGACAGTTACGCAGGGGATTTTATAAAATTTTGTTATAGTAAATATGAACATGATAAAATCTTTTAGAACAAAATTTATATTTCCGCTAGCCAAGGGAATTCATCTTGGGCACTTGATAATAATAATTATAGCATTTACTTCCCAACAGTTACCCATTTACAGGACAATTACGTGAACAAAATAAACGCATAGTCTACGACAGTGTTTGAAAAGAAAATAATCAATTTATGCACTTATATGCTATCCTCATTACTACACTAAGAGAAGATATAAATACAGTGTGAGTCTTCATAAAGTGCACATAGCAAAGTCAAGGAAACTACACCTTATTTTATTGACGGAAAAATTATCAAAAAAAAAAATAAAAACAATAATTGATTTTTTATGAATATTTTAAAATTTTTAGAGTCAGCTGCTAACCCTATTTAAATAAATCGTTACAACTTTTAAACTGAATGTCCTATCATATTGGAATAAATTTTGTAGTGATTGCAAATAATATTCCGTACCAGTAAAGTGAAAATTTCCACGAAATTAAATGCTATAAATTTAAAATAAAGAGGAATATCCTGAAACTCACTATTTTTTCAATGATTTTTAAAACAATTGCTAAATTTCAATAAAAATTGTCCTATTTACCCTACCTTTTTTAAATGGTAAGTTATTCTACATGTTATTAGCTTCCTAATGGTAAAAAATTGCAAGTTTATTACTTAGATACAAGTTTTTAAATCAGCGTTTCAAAAAGCAGTAAGCTCAGTTCAACGCCAGAGTAGGAATAAAACAACAGTATTAACCTACATGAATCATTCATTATCTTTAACAAATAAAATCAAATAGACTTGTATATAGGATAATCATTTTGGCTTAATGCATCAAATGTTCAAAATGGCCACCCCGTTGCTGCAAACACATTGTAGCGCGAAGTGAAATTTGATGAGTTGCCCTACGAATCATCTCGGGATCATTTTTGATTTCGTTTGCAACCCGCAAAACTCTTTCTTCAAGTTCCGCTTCGCTGTTTATGGAACTGCTGTACACCCTTTGTTTCATTGTCCCCCATAAAAAATAGTCGAGAGGTGTGAGATCTGGGGAACGCGCCGGCCACCCAACAGGTCCTTGTCGACCGAACAAGCGGCCTGGATAATTTTCATTAAGAAAAGACCTGACAATCAGCGAGTAATGGGCAGGACATCCATCCATTTGAAGCATCATTCTTCGACGGGTTTGAAGCGGCACTTCTTCCAACAGCAAGGGCAGTTCAGTCCGCAAAAGCTCCAGAAATCTCTCTCCGTTTAATGTCCTCGGGAGTATTATTGGACCAATCAAAAAGTTGTCAATCGGTGCGGCCCACACATTTACAGAAAATTTCACTTGAAATGTTGAAGCCCTTTTCAGCCTAGGGTTTTCATCTTTTGGGCACCACCTATGTAAATTACGACAGTTCACGATGCCGTCTCCGGTGAATTGAGATTCATCTGTGCACAGAATTGTTTTCGGGAATTCAGGATTGTCTCTTGTTTTTATTAAAATCCATGTAGACATAACGCACCTTGGACGTCAATCCACATCTTCATGCAAGTGCTGCACCCTTTGATAATGGTATGGATGCAACCCTGGTTTCCTCAAGATGCGCCAAACCGATTTCTGGGATACGCCATGACGTAACGCCAAACGTCTCGTACTAGTAGTCGGGTCAGCAAACAAATCATCCAAAATGGCTTCTTCGATAGCAACATGAATAATAACAACTGGTTCGCGGCGATCTCGAGGCAAACCAAGTCCAGTGTTAGCCAGCCTTCTATGTACTTCTTGGAAGTTACGGGCTGATGGACCAGGGCGTCGATTTGGAAATGCAGCTAGATAAGCTGTGCAAGCAGCTCTAGCACTCCCTCGGTACATTCCATAATAATAATGGATATCGGCAATGTGTGCCGGAGGGAAATCACTTATACGTGGCATCGCGACCAAAAAGCGAAAGGGTGATATGTAGCAAACGAAACTGATAAAGTTGGCAGGAGAAACACAAACAGCTGACTAACTGCCCAACATTCAATTGTTTTTCAACTGGGCCCGCCTCCCCACTCGTACTTCAGCCCGCGCGACTACATTGAATCACCAAAAAAAGGTATCTACATGTTAAACAATGGTGCCTAGCAAGACGATGCGTATGGGCTTTTTTATAAACACTCATAGAAACTGCTACATTTGAGTAATAAACGTGCAATTTTTACTTTTATAAAGCTGATAACATGTAGAATAACTTACAAATGAAAAAAGGTAGGGTACAAGGGACGATATTTATAGAAAATTTGAAATTATTGTAAAAATGATGAAAAAGAAAACAGATTTTCATCAAAATTTTCTTTATTCTAAATGGATGTCATTACTTTTCCTGGAATTCTTCACTTTTCAGGCACGTCCTTTTACCAGCAATCACTAGAAAATGTATTCCAATATGATAGGACATTTAGTTTAAAAGTTGTTAGAAGATGCTACTAAAAATTTTAAAATATTCATATATTCATAAAAAATCAAATTCATATTTTTTTGATGATTTACCCGTCGATGAAATAGAGTGTAGTTTCCCTGATTTTAATATGTGCACTTTATGAAGACTCACACTGTATATCGCAATGACAGCTAACTCTAATGAGATTTTTTAAACATAACATGCACAGGTTACTTGACCAAAACGTTGGTCCTTGCTCTAGATGGTTTAAAGGCGACATAACTACGTGAAGAAAAAATAAAAAATATTGCACGTGGTACCTTCTTGTGAACTTTAAGCTTTGAATTTCAAAATGAACATAACGGTGCTTTGCTAACTCCTACCTCAGGATAAACTTCTTCATACTTCATATAAAGGAATTTAAGAAACCTGCTTTGAGCCTTTTCAATTTCGTCTATATAAATTTGGTAATATGGCCTCCATATAATACAACCATATTCAAGTTTGCTACACATATATGCAAAATATAATACCTCCAAAGCCCTTATGAAGTGAAATTGTTTACAATTCCTGACAAGGAAGCCGTATGACTTCTAAAACTTTTTGAGAAATATGCTAAGCAAATGTTAATCTCTGGTCATAAAGAACACCCAAATCTCTGATTCGCAACGCACTATCAGTTTTATAGTTGAAAATTTTGAAGGGTTTTTTCCTACTATAACTAACAACCTTGCACTCACTTGTTGGTATTTAGATTTAAATTGTTGACATCGCGTCAAGTCCGAATACTATCCAACTCCACCTGTAAATCCAAACAATAATGAATATCCCTTGTAGACGAATATATTTTCATGTCGTCAGCAAAACATATACTAAGTGACATATAAATCCGAACACCCAGTTTAAATGGTTTTATTTTAATAAA